AATATTTAATTGAATATCACGGTTTTTAACGGTGATATCTACTAATTTTCCATGAGAAACTTTTTTTTTTTTGAAGCCATTTCACCAATGATTGAAGATGAGTATAAAAAAAAAAAAAAAAATGGTGTCTGTTTTCATGTTTGCACAATATCTAGCCACGTTTTTTTTTTCTTTTGTGTAAGTTCACTATTTATCTTAATTTCACGTGATGATTTCCCCATCTAATCGGATTTCCCGGCTCTAATTCATCTTTGCGACTTTACATGAAATATTTTAACCTCTTTTCTTATCACTTTTTGGACGCAGAAGATGTGAAAGCAACGTTCCTACTCCCTCCAATCCTAGCTACAGTACCATTTTAATAATGTCAGTGGCTACTGTTTGTGGTGTGCAAATCTGTTGAAGAAATATGCTGTAGCTTTATCAACACGAGCATCCGGATTTGAAGTCAAAGCCGCCTTAGAGTCCTCCCTTGTTGATTTGAAAAAATGCCTTTTAAATGAGCAAGATAACGTTAGATGGGAGATAATTCTTCCATGGCCTGCGCTGTGGCCTATGTGTTCCGTAATTAATTCCTTTTGTTGGAAAAAGCGAGGCAAGCCCAAAGCTTTGTTAGGTATCAGACTGCCAGCCACGTTCTTCCACTTCATAAAGAAGAAATGATTGGTTCATCGTTTTGATAAGATTTTTTCGATATTAATGGTGGCGAAAGCGAGACTTCCATTAGTCGCAGAATTCTATCAGACTTCATTAAGGATTTATTTATTCGAATATGCAATTCGGAGGTTTCCTGGTCCAGATTCTGCATGGGAAGCCAATACTTATTTGCCTATTAAGAGATATGCCACTGCCACACAAGAACGTACAGCTAAAAGATTCAAGAATGTAAACGAGAAAATGGGAATTCAAATAGCATGAACAAAGGGTATTGTACAAACTTTGAACGACGACAATACACTCCAAACCGACGTCAGATTTGTGCACAAATGGAAGAGCTATTAGGAAATGATACACTAGCGCAACTTGTATGAAAATGTGACATGAAAATGATTATATATATATATAACGATGATGCTTTCAAGCGAGTGGAGGAATAGTTTATTTTAAATACTTTGATAATTCGCCCAAAGCCAATTTAGTGGGGTAATAGCCACCAAAAAGGAAGGGCAGCTATCAAAGCAGCCTGCAAAATAGAACTTGACAAGAGGCAGCTGGATGATCATCGTCAAATGCTGGTGGCTTTACCCAACGAGGTGAAAGTCACGGATGATCCAATCGGCAAAACTGCCGTCTCCACGGTAAACGTGTCGTAACGTAGGAAGAGCTCCACCAACATTAGCCTAGAAAGAAGCACTACCATGTCCTTCCCTGGACATTGCTTATCCTCCACCGTGGGATCCACAGTCTCACGCCCATTTGACCAATAAACATACTTCAATAATTTCTCTCCCTCCCCCACAAACCTATGCCCCACAAACTCTTCAGCATCATCAAAAACCTCAGGATCCTTCGTGGCGAACGGCTGATATCCAAAGATCATTTCACCTTTCTTGATCTTATAGGCCGCGTGATGGCTTTCGACCACAATATCTTCCTTGGCCTTAGCGTACTGGAATGGAACCGGAGGTTCAATCCTGAAAGCTTCATAAACAACAGATTTTGTCAAAACCATCTTATCCATTGCTTGGATAGTGATCCCACCTTCTTCTTTAACAACGGTCCTGATTTCATCTGCGAGCTGACGGTGCAGCTTTTCTCCCGCCAGGCCAACCCATTTGATCAAAGCAGGAAACCAGACTTTTAGGCCTCCATAAGTACTAAAACAAGCGAGAAACACAAGATTGTGGCAAGCTTCCTCTCTTGTAACCCCGAAACTCTCAGCTTTGTCCAAAATGGGACCCGAAGACGCATAAAACACATCGTAAAGCTTGTAGTAATCAGATTTTACTAAGAAAAATGGTAATCGAAATGTATGCAACAATAGATCATCAACATATTTCAAGAACTTAGGTAACCCTAGGGTAAAAAGTGGTCCGAGTTGTAGAGCCAGCCATTTATCAGCAATGGCTGGTCCCTTCGACCCAATCGCGGTCTCAGACGGGTCTTTACCGCAAAAGAGACGAAAAATGTAGTTGAAAGACATGACCTGACCAAGGTTGTTGAAATTTGCTTTCTTTTGAGAGGCTATGCCATCCTCAATGCTGATGAACAGTTGTGACAAGCAGGTTCTAAAGAGAGGAATAAACTCATTGTGCTTGGACGCAAGCACAGACATAAAGTAGGATTTGAGAGCGGTATGTTTGGTCTCAGAAGGGTCAAGATAGGCACAAACACGGTATCCTCCAGAGTAGGACAAAGAAGGCAAGAAAGTGCCATCAAGAACGTTGTACTTTTCAACCTTAGATGTGTCAAATAGGATAGGAAATGAAATTGCATCAAGGACAGCAATAACTTTGGGGTTCTTGGCAATGAAAGGGCCGGGAGGCATGTTGGTTTTGATGACCGTGGAGTTGTGCTTTTGGATGCGTGTTTTAAAGAACTCATCTTTACCTTGGTCATAGAAATAGTCTAGACGATCTCTAATTGCACCGAAGAAAGGGATGCCATAATCACCAGGGATTGGCTTCATCGGGAGTTTTGATTCAGAAGAGGAAGAAGAAGGAGACATCTTCAATTACTATTTGCGTTTGGATTTTCTTCTGGCTTCGTGGTGAATCAAGGGATTGCCATGTATCAATATATATAAATTCTTTGTTATCCTTGTAATCAAGCAAATTCATTAATTAATGCTAGTTGTATATTTGTTGAATTAAAAATGCTCTTGCTTTTCAACCCAGTTTGATTCATATGCTTGCTAAATGCTTAAAAAATTTAAAGCACATGCTCATTATTCAACTCAATCATGGTGGCGATGATGGGTGGGGGTCACAAAACAGGTCACCAAGGTAGTAACGGATTTACTTCAGGAAAAACAATAAAACAAATTCAATCCTGTACAGTTGCGTGTGGCCTTTAGAACGATGAATGATCAGAAAAGACTAGATAAATTAGCTTGGGCTGGATCATTTATTTATTTTTATAATATAAAAATTATTTAAATATTGTTACGAGTCTAATATTATGCCTAGTTATTCGAATATCCACATTAATTCAAAAAACAATTATAGGTAATTCCAACTTGGTGATTTTGAGATCGTAGAGACTAATTAAAGAACCAACCTTGCTTGCAAGACTGATCGGAGGCTGCTTCGAGAGTTTATGATTCTATTGAAGCCCTAAACTATTAAGACGGTTTTCATGTTTTAAAATAAAAATATTTAGTAAATATAATGTGTTAGAAACGTGATTAATTTTTTAAAAATATTTTTTAATTTACTATAATATTTTCTTTTTAAATCCAAATCTTGCCCTATCCAACTCCAATATAAAATAGGCTTCCGACCGAGACCTGATTTCTGCGTTCCTCCATGGCGGCAGCCGCCCAAGAAGTTCTTCCCCTTCCTCCTTCCCCAGCCGCCCAACACTTCACAAGAAACTATTTTGTTAGAAATATAAACACCTCTCTTCCTCTCAAATCAATGCAAACTAGGTTTAGGCTTGACCCGCTATGTCCAACCCTCGCAGATATTTGACATTTGCAGGTCGGGTCGGTTTTTCATGCTGAAAATGCTGTGATGTCGGGTCGGATATATATTTCAGTCCAACCCGACCCGTGCACTGCTAAATTATGAGACTGAGGAGGCCACCCCTAGTCTATGATACGTTGTGACTCCCAGAGTTGTTAATAGATGGGCTGAATCCAAAGCATACATTCTAGAAGTTGCGCATGCAAATTAACCAAACTTTTAGACTTGCTTGGCTACCTTTTATTTTAGGATTTACAGCGTCTTTACAGGTATGATTTTGATTGTTTTTAAAAATATTTTTATATTAAAATATATTAAAATAATATTTTTTTATATTTTTAAAATTATTTTAAGAATTAGTCCATCAAAATAATCTAAAATACATATAAAATTAATTTTTAATAAAAAAAATTAAATTTTTAATAAATATCATTTTCATTGCATTTCCTAATAGATAGACTTTTCAAAACAAATATCTCCTAAATTATTGAATACTAAAGTCTTTTTCAAGATAATAAAAGCAATTTAAAAAAACAAATATCTCCTAAATTATTGAATATTAAAGTCTTTTTCAAGATAATAAAAGTAATTTAAAAAATAATTTTTAATATTAGAATATAAAAAAAATTATTTTTAACATCAATGAATCACAACTATTTAAAACACCAAAAAATTAATTTTTAATAAAAAAATTTTTATTTTTATGAAATGCAGTTTGCATATCCCTAAACAACATCTAATAAATGGGTTTCTCAAAACAAATATTTCTAAATTATTTTTAACATCAATGAATCACAATTATTTAAAACACCAAAAACTTAATTTTTAATAAAAAAATTTATATTTTTATGAAATGCAGTTTGCACATCCCTAAATAACATCTAATAAATGGGCTTCTCAAAATAAATATTTTTTGAATTATTTAGTAGTTGATTGTTAAATTTTTTTTAAAAGTAATAAAAATAATTTTTAATATTAGGATATCAAAATAAACTAAAAATATTAAAAAAATTATTTTAAAGGAAAATTCTTTTTTAAAAACTCATAAAACACGATTTCAATAATAAAAATAAACATCTACGTAAATCCAAAGCATGGAAGCACATCACAAACAGGCTCTACAAGGAAAAATAGGCAAGAATTAGGCTACATGCAAAGAAACTGAGGCTGCATCACGAACACCTCACTACGCACAAGAGATTAAGATTCAGGAATGGAACTGGAGCTTAATTGGTGAATTGATCATGCCTTCTCTTTTTATTTTAAGAAACTTAAACTAAAATTAAAATAAATTAGCAAACCAACAAATTATATTTCCTCGAAAGCAATCGTGCAAGACATGCACTGGGTTTTTTTTTTAAAAAAATAATTTTCTTTTACTATTTAGGATATTGTGAGAAGAGGCAAATATTTCAAGACTTAGCTTCACCAAGTTCATGTGCTTGTGGCCTTGATCAATGAGGTTAATGTCACTGATGATCCAAACGGTAACACAGCCGTCTCCACAGTAAACGTGTCATATCGGAGGAAAAGCTCCACCACCAATAACCGAGACAAGAGCACCACTAGATCCTTCCCAGGACATTGCTTATTCCCCGCAGTTGGATCCTCCGTCTCCCGCCCGTTTGACCAATAAACATACTTCAATAGATTCTCTCCTTCTCCCACAAACCTATGCCCCACAAACTCCTCAGGATGATCAAAAATCTTAGGATCCTTTGTAGCGAACGGCTGATATCCAAAGATCATCTCACCTTTCTTGATCTCATAAGCTGCATCATGACTGTTGATCACAATATCCTCCTTAGCCATCCCGTATTGGAATGGGACCCCGGGTTCAATCCTTAAGGCTTCAAAAACTACTGATTTGGTCAAAGCCATCTTTTCCAGGGCTTGGAAGGTGACCCCACCTTCCTCTTTAACAGCGGTCCTGATTTCATTAGCAAGTTGGCTGTGTAACTTCTCTCCTGCTTTGCCAACCCACTTGATCAATGTAGGAAACCAAGCTTTCATGCCCCCATAAGCGTTAAAACCAGCAACAAACACTAGGTTATGGCAAGCTTCATCTCTGTCAATTCCAAAACTCTCAGCTTTGTCTAGAAACGAACTCGAAGACGCATAAAATGCATCATAAAGCTTCTTATAATCAGACTTTACTAAGAAAAATGGTATTGGAAATGTGTGCATCAAAAGATCTTCAAAATATTTCAAAAACTTTGGTAATCCAATGGTTGCAAGTGGAGCAAGTTGTAAGCCGACCCATTTATCTACAATGGCAGGTCCTTCCGATCCAAGCTTTGTTTCAGAGGGATCTTTTTCGCAAAATAGACGAAAAACAAAGTTGAAAGACATTGCATCATTGGAGTCATTGAAATTTGCTGTCCTTTTAGAACTCATTTCATCTTCAATGTCGATGAACATTTGAGACAAGCAAGTCCTAAAAAGGGGGACGAAGTCCTTGTGCTTGGATGCGAGGACAGACATGAAAAAGGATTTGAGAGAGGTGTGATTAGGCTCAGAAGGATCAAGATACGCACAAACTCGGTATCCTCCAGTAAAAGACAAGGAGGGCAAGTAAGTGCCATCAAGAACGTTAAATTTTTCAATTTTGGAAGTGTCAAAGAGGATTGGGAATGATATTGCATCAAGTACAGCAATTACTTTCGGGTTTTGAGCAATAAAAGGGCCAGGAGGCATATTGGTTCTGAAAACTGTTGATTGGTATTTTTCAACACGGGAGCTGAAGAACTCATCTTTCCCTTGGTTATAGAAATAGTCTAGACGATCTTTGATGGCACCGAAGAAAGGGAGGCCATAGCTACCAGGTATTGGTTTCAATGGGACTCCTGATTGAGGAGGAAACATTTTCAGCTTGAGTATGTTGTGCTCTTTGTTTGGCAGTTTAGTGAGGAATATTAGTTGATTTCACCATGGATCCATGCATGTCTATTTATACTATCTACAACGTTTACTTGTCTTTGAGTTTACGTTCGATACTCATTGTGTGCACAGTTATTGACTAGTAATTAAGACATGTTTTCTTCAGACCTATATGAAATTTCTACCTTATCTAAAATTCACGCGATTATTTATCATTTGGTGTCCCAATATAATTAATGAGCAGTTTTTCATGATAGGAACACGAGATTTCGAGTTCAAATGCGAGACGTTTACGTAGTGAGGTTAAATTTTGCCTCTCGTAGGCTGACTTGATCAAGGTTAAAAATCATTTATCTTTATAAAATTATCAAATATTAAAAAAATATCAAAAAAAAAATATTATAGATAAATTGTAGTGATATTTATCAATAAAAAATCACATTACTATTTTCATTAATAAATACTAAGAGAATAACAGATGAAATTCAAAAAATAAAAAAAAATTAGACATATATTCCCTTGTTAATCCCATAAGCAAATCTAACATGTTAATATTATCAACAGAATTACATATGATAATTTACTGTAGCTAATTCTCGTTTGTAAATTCATCAGTAATATTAAAGTTATAACTAGTAGCATAACCCCTACTGATCCTTTTCTCTATTTATTCTTCTTCTTCTTTTTGTAGAAAACAACACCCTCATCTCCTATTTTGACAGAAATCTAGATCCCATTATCATAAATTTAACCACCCCAATACTCGGTATGTTAGTATCCCTGTTTTGGTTTTTTTTTTTTGAAGATTAACCAATTCAAATACGCAAACCTACATTTCTTTTTGTAACTTATTTTTCTTATGTTATTTTTTTGGTGTTTTTTTTACAGTATATGTAGTTTGTTTGCATGTTTACTTATTTTATAGCTTTTTTTATAAAGAAATTTGTTGTACAAATGTATAATTTGTACATGTTAGGGTTTATTTGAGATTTAAAAAAATTATATTTGTTTGTCATTTGATGAAATTGAATTTGATTTTGTAACTTAGGTGAGTTATAATGAAAGAAATAATGGGTTATTTAATGGTTATGTTTCACATTAATTTTGTCAATTTTTATTTTAAATTTTAAAATTTCTATAAACTTGGAGAAACTTACTTTTCTGGAGAAAATTGATAATAACTAAAAGGTACTATTAAAATAGATTGAATAAGTTTGATTTGAACAAATGATAGCTAATTAGTTGGGTATTGATAATTTGTTTAGTTCACATTATTAATTAATATATATTATTATAAATATTGTATACAAGTTTTATATAAGTAATGGATCATCTTTCTTGGATGTATCAAGTTTCATCTAAAGGGTTGTGCATGATAAATTATTATAGTGGGGTTCAGGATTTTATTAATTATGCACTATCTAATTTGAAGAATATTAGTTGAGACAGTAGTAGATATTTATATAAGAGGTGTGTGAATAAAAAGTTCCTCGATCCAGATATTAGTATGATGCATCTTTTACAAAAAAAGCTCATGGAAAATTAGTTGTGTTGGTTTGCACACAAAGAACCTTATGTTCCTTATAATACCATAGTAGAAAGGATAGTTAACTCAATTTCTAGTTCTAGTAATGTGCATGAAGTTGCAGATAATAATAATAATCTTTATACGATTATGACGATGGATACAATGAGAATGAATCATGGTTATGCAAGTAAATCTTCAAGTGTAGATGAAGAACTAAATATAAATAAGTTAGGTTTTTTGAACTTTTGAAAGATTCCAATAAACTATTATGGGATGAGAACAAATCACAGTAAATTATTAGTTATTGCATATGTGTTCACTATTAAGTCAAATCCTGGGGTAAGTGATATTGATAATGACAAAATCATCGAATGGACAAGAAATATTTTACCTAAAGGGAATAAATTGAAAGAGAATTTATATGCTGCTAAATCCATTATAAATCCCCTTGGTCTAGGATACTAGAAAATTAACATGTGTCCAAACTTTTGTAAGTTGTACTATCATAAAAATATATATTTTATCGAGTGAAATACATATAGGCATGCTCTATATAAAAACAAAACTGGTAGGAGAAAGACTCTTGTCGTACATAGAAAACTCGGATACTTCTTAATCACTCCTATATTGCAAAAGTTATTTATGTCTCTAAAGACTACTAAGTATATGACATGATATTATTCACATGATACGATTTATGAAGTCATAGTATACCCTTCCGACAGTGAAGTTTAAAAGTAGTTTAATAGGGTGCATCTTTAATTTTTAATGGAACTATAAAACATACATTTTGGGTTAAGTACAAATAAATTTAATCCATTGAGGCGATGTGTTGCATCCTATTTTTGGTTGATAATACTTATAGTTTACTACTTGCCATCAGAGATCTATATGAGGTCAAAGTTTATGCTTTTATCTATAGTCATACCCAATCCTAATAATCTAGATAACAATATAGATGTTTGTCTTTGATTATTTATTGATGAGTTTAATCAGTTGTGGTTATATGAAACTTTGATGAATGATGACTCAATGAAACAAAATTTTCATATTAAGATAACATTAATGTGGATTATCAATGATTTTCCTGCATATAAGATGATTTTTAGTTAGAGCACGCTATTAGCTTGTCCATATTGTAAGAAAAATAATAAGGTTTTCACCTTAACAAATAATAGTAAAACATTTTTTTTTTTATTAACATCAGAGGCTCTTGCCAACTAATTATAAGTACACAAAAAATAAGAAGGAAATCTTTATAGGTATAATTGAAAAGGATATTGCATCTATTATACCATCATATTTCTTGGATTTTATCATTTTTTTCTATCTTCTTTAGATTTAGACTAATGTGAAAATAAAAGGAGTTTTAGAAAGAAAATGAGAGAGAGAAAAAAAGAGTTATGTTTAACTAATTTGACAAAAAAAAATATAGGGTATGATTTTTTCATAATAGCACTAAACACAATAAGGATCACTATAATAAAATTACTATTTTACCCTTGAGTGGGAGAAATAGAAGCCTTAATGGTGGGGTTATTAAAAGTTTGTTCAGGGGATCTTAGTCCTTTTTTATTTTTTTCATAATAAAATAATATATTTATTCTCAAAATTAACAAAATTTAGATATGTTAGGCTGAGCTTTATTTTTAAAGACTTTAAAACAATAAAATACTTCTTTATCACAAGGTAAAAAAAAAAGTAAAGTTATTTACCAAGTGTTTTTTTCTTTATTAAAATATAGTAAACATATGTATTTTCCATTAGAAAAGACAAAAAATAAGGTATGTATTTAGGGATGTTTTTGTCCTTTCACGCATGACTTTTTATGTAATTTTCAAGGTCATAAAGGATATTTTTATTTTTTGACGGTGCATGTGACATAACCAGGTAGACTAACTTGACCTTTTATCATGTATTTGAAAATTCCACAATGTCCAATTCTTCCTTATATGACATGTGACAACTGATGATGTGCGATTTGTCGCTAGTAGTCATTTTTTTTTATCCCAATATTTTCTCTCTTCTACTAGAAAAAATATACGATTGTCCTCTTTGTTTTTTATCTTCAACTTTAGCCCTTTTATAAGAGTTTTGTTTGTTTTCCCTTCAATTAAAATTTCTCATGATTTTTTTTCATTTCGGTCCTTATTCTTTTAATTTTATTTTTTTCATTAGCTTTTTTGTTAAAGTTTTATTTGTTTTCAATTTAATTGTTCAATCAAAGTTTCTATTATTTTTTTTCCAATTTAACCCTCATTCTTTTGATTTGTTTTTCCTTTTGTTAAAGTTATACTCATTTCAATTTAACCCTCCAATTAAAATTTTTTGTTTGCCCTCTAATTTATTTTTTATTTAAATTTTCATCCTTATTGTTTTAATTATAATTTTATTTTAGATCCTTTTATTTAATATAGATGAACTTTATTTTTCAAAATAAAAAATATTTATTTTTAAATAATATTTCTGATATGTTCGGCCTTGTATACTATTTTTAGAGTGTGAGTTTATTCAATTAGTTTTGGTTTTGTTTTTATTATATTTTAATTATTTAAATAAACAAGTTTAGTAAATACAACTTGATAAATGACTTATTTTGTACGATTAAATATCTTGATCTTCTTTCATCTCTTATTTTTTTTTAATTTCTCTTTTAGTTATTGTTAATATTTTTCCCCCATTTATTTACATAAATGATTATCTATTTATTTAATTAGATATTTGCATAGAATCTTTGATTTACAAATTGAATTTTATTATGAAAAAAAACATTGAAATATTTTGCTTTCTTGGTATATCTTTTGAAAAACAAAATCAAAAGCCATGATAAAGTCAGGTTAAATAACTAGATAATTTATTTATAATTTTTATAGCCCTTTTTATCCCATCAACATGAATTTTTATATTTTTTTCAAAGAAAGTTTTTTATATTGTAATTTTATCAATTACAATACTAAATTGAACATTGATGTTCATTCCAAAGAAAACTCATCAACCACTCTATGAACCAAACTTATATTTTTTTTATTTATTTTAATTGTATGCATTTATTAACACTTAATAAATTAATCAACATCTAAATTAGTTTTTAAGACAAACAACATTTAATAAAAAGCCTTTTTGATTAATCACTAAATTGTTTCTCAAAAAAAGAAAAAACACTACACGAATCACTTGCACCCTTGCATATTTAATAGATATCTAATATTTATTTTATTAATTGATTTTGCATATTTAACAAATATCTAATATTTATTTTATTAATTGATTGTAATTCTTGATAAAAAAAACTTAGTAACTCTCTCATATAAATTTGATATATGATTTAAAATTCAAAGAATCCAAGTGTTAATGTTATGTTTTCATCAACTTTCAACTATTATCCTACTCAAGAACACTATTAATAATGATGTTCCTAAACTCAATATGCTTAGATATAAGGTTTCTTGAGTGTTTAGATATTAGATAATCACACATTCACGTTAATATTTCAT